TGCAGCATTGGTAAAGATTGTGTTCTCTGTGCACTTGGGGGAAGAACTTTTTTTTTTTAGTGGATGAAGAATGTGTACCAGGCAAAATCTAGAGGAATGTTTTTAGCAAGAGGCAAGTGTCAGCAGTGGCAGTGTGTGCAATTATCGTTCTTTAAGAAATCAAAGCTTCTTCTACTACTGTATCCATTTGAAGGTAAAAGTTATAATTGATGAATTGAAATGGGATTTGCTCAAAAATGAGCTTTAACAGCAACTCCTAAACCCATTGGTGTAAACAAGGTGTTTCTGATACCATCTGGGTGGGTACAGTTAGAACCCAATGCAGGTCTAGGGATCCTTATGTTTATTTGAGCAGATGTTCTGCAGCAGACATGTGCACCTGCCTTTTATCGCCAGTCCCTCATGAGGTGTAAATTTCTGTCTTTTTACTTTAAATTATGACGTTGGGAGCTGTAGGATAATCTGTCCGAAGGGATAAGTGCTAAGATAACCTTAGGCTGATACATTTTTTTTTTCTGTGGTCCTTAGATTAGTCCTTATACAGTGTCTTCAAGTACTTGTAATTAATTTAATGGAAGAAGTAAAGCTTTCAGGCTTGGCCTCTGCCCAGGGGAACATCCCAAACTGTGTGAGCTGTGTTCAGATAGTTTCTTTGGGATGAGAGCCTGAGAACCCTCTTATCTGAGGGAGGAACGTGATTCAAGTGTACAGAGTTTTGAAGCTTGCAGACCAGGTGAATGCAAGTAGTTCTTCAGCAAAGTTTTTAGTGGTAGAACAAGAGTGACTTTCTGAAACTAGGAAGAGAATAAAATCAATTAGTAAAAGTAGTTATTTTGATAGTGGACACTTAAATGCTAGTTAAGTGTGCCACAAGAGGTTGTGAAGGCATGTTCAAAAGATGCTTTGGTGGATTTGTGGACAGCAAGTCCATAAATTGCTTCTGATGGGATTAAGCAGCAATGTAGCCTTTAATTTCATAACAGTTTAAATTGCTGAAGGATTATGAGGAGAGTGGATTGCAGAATACAGCCAAGTTCTCATGCTTTCCTTGAGTAGCATGTCCTTTTGCCACCTTTGGAGCCATTGGAGCACTAGGCTGGATACACCATGGCTGCTTTTTCATTATAAAATCTTCATTTATCCAAATTGCTCATAATTCAGCCCACTGATGCCTTCCAGTGTGCACTACCTTCTCTAGGCTTGGAGCAGAGTGCCTTTTTTTCATAGATTAAGCTGACTGAAATACTCTCATGTGAGTACTCATCACAACTGGCTGAAGTATTAAGCTGAATGAAGTCCTGTCCTACTTGTGTCACATTCTCTCTGCTCACCCTTTGAAAGATACAGGGTCACTACTGGAATAACTTACTGAAATTCTTATTGATAACTCCTGGCAAATCACTGACATGGCAAAACAATAGCTAGAAGGAAAAATTTAGCTCAAGCTTCCCAGACTCCTAGACTGGAGCTGTAATGTGCGTTGTGTTTTTGTTAAATAGCTGCTAAGCTGCAAAAATCATTGTTAAAAGAGCTCTTGGAGTTTTGGGGTTTTTTACAGCTTACTTTCATGGAGGTAACATATGAATTTGTGCTTTCTGACATCTTCTGCAGAATCTGGATGAGCACACATCTGTAAGGCAGCTGTATAAAATTAAGTATAGTGTCTGGAAATTTCTGATTAGTTTGGTCTGAATCTACAGTCATTTGCAGATGTGAAAAGAGATTTTTTTTTTAATTTGTTTTCTCTGACTATGTCAAAATAATATGAGAGTTTAAATATAGAGAAATGTATGGAATTTCTAAATTCTTTCATGCTCCAAGACTTTAAGTAACTCAGTGTGCATTTGAAGCAGAAAGGCAAATCTTTATTAAAGAAAAAACAAACCATGAGAGAATACAGAAAATTGTGTTTCATAATTAGGGGAGAGAATACTGCAAAATTAAGCACCTAATCACAGTGAGTATTAAAAAGTGAGGAATTGGATAAAGGCATTGAGAATGTTTGGAGAGCCTGGAAGAACAGGCTCTGAAAGAGGCTATTTCCCACCTTGGTGGTAAATGAGACCTTTCTGAAGTCTGTGTTTTATAATGCTGACAGTCAAAGGAGTATTTTGTGGCACTGAAAGGTGTCAAATTTGAAGCTAAAGAACAAAAATATTCAGATAAGGATAAGAATTGGTGTGTGGATCAGCAATGATAGTGGTACTTGATTGCCTACATCTGTCAGCACTGAATTTAATGTTCAGATGTTATACCATCAATTGCTGCTCTTTGAAACAAAAGGCAAAGAGGTTGTTTCTTCTAGTTCAGTCTTTCTGAATTTCTTGTGTGTGCCTCTGAAGCACCCAGTGCTGGCCTTGTTCAAAGGCTGAAGTATTTTTATAAAGCTCCCAGTGTCTGCTGCTCCCTGCTTTAGAAACCAAGTGTGTTTCTTCAACCAGTGGAGGCCATGCAAGCCTGCCTGTTTAATCTCTGGAGCTGTGTGGTGTACTCATTAGGGGTCTAATGTGTCTCACTGCCAAGCCCTCAAATGGTTCAGAGCGTGTCAGGCTCCTTAATATTTCTTTGTCACCAAAATAAATGATTTAAATTAAAGCACATTTCCAGCTATGCAGTGAGTGTTAGTGCTGCAGTTAAAGTCTGGGGCTAGAGTTCTCTTTCCACACTCCTGTAATTCATCTGACATCACTTGTAGTACATCAGTACCATGTGCAAGCAGCTTTTTAGCTTGAAAGAGAACTGTATTGGCAAAAACCCCGGAAAATTGATGGGTTTTTACTCTTACCTAGCTGAATTTTTGTGGAAGAGCATTAGCACTGGTGCTGAGGTGGTGGTGCCACAGGAAGGAAAAGAAGGAGAACTGAGCTTCCTGTGGCAAGAAGCTGCTGTGGTGGCTTGACTCTTTATGGTACTGTACCTTTAGTGTTCAAGTCAGTGTTTCATTAAAAAATGTTGTCTGTTCTGTTTTATTTTTCTTTTTGCTGTAGCCAGGCTTCCAGTGCAATGCTCAGCAAAACCTGCAGTTGGAGTTATTGAGGACAATTCAGCAATAATTTAATGTTGCTGGAAGAAGGAAATTTCTTTATAGTCTTGTGTGAAAATGAATGTTTTATCTTTTTACCAGGGTCTCTAGAGACAAAAAATGTGCAACAGTTTAAAACTTAAAGAGGGTTGATCTGGATTGTGTATAAGGAAGAAATGCTTTCCTCTGAAGGTGGTTAGGTCCTGGCACAGGTTGCCCAGAGACACTGTGGCTGCCCCATCCCTGGAAGTGTTGCAGGCCAGGTTGGATGGAGCTCTGAGCAGCCTGGGAGAGTGGAAGGTGTCCCTGCCCATGGCAGAAGGTGCAACAAGATGATTTTTAACAGTCCCTTCCCAAAACACTCTGTAATTCTGTGATTTAGTATGGAGTATTTTCAATGGCTTGCATAAAATTATCAGTGTTGATCTTGGTCCCTGTTAATTAGAACCTTCATGAGCCCAGAAAACTACATTGCTTGCTTCAGTCATATTTTTGGGTGCTCTGAGAAGCTGGTTTATGGAGGTGTAATTTATTTGAAACTGAAATGTCATGCCTACTGAATGTTCTGTTTTGTGGAAGTTGCTAAGTTATGACTTAAATTACCTGTAGAATATAATCTAGTGTTTGTTGACTGGGCCCTCACTGAAACTGCAAAAATGTGACAAGGCATAAATTAGAATGAATGCTGTAGCCTGAAGTGCCTTGGATCATGCTGTTGTGCAGGTGGGAGATTTCAGTAAGATGAAGCTGGTGTATTTTGGATAGATGTGGGGAGTGTGCCTGTACAGGTTGGAGAAGCACGTAACCTGCCTTCAAAACTCCAATCAGATAACCTGAAGGTAGTGTTAGCTTTTAGCTAAAACAAGGTATTTTCAACTGACTGAACTAACTTACATGGCTTGGGAATATGGGAACTTTCTGGAGCTCAAATACCCATTTGTTGCCTGGAAATAGGATCGTTTTTGACTTCAAAGCTGTGCTTCCATCCACAGGACCATTAATGTCCTTGAGAGACTTCTAACAGCTGTCTGCCTGTTGATTTCAGGTATTTTATTTTAATGCCTAAAACCAGCCTAATGGAAGCTGCAAAAGCAAGATGCTTTTTTTCTAAGTGGCTATCATTTCTCTCTTAAATGATTTGATGTGCGTATTGCAGTGAATGCTAAACATAGCTCCAGTATCAGCATCCCTTTTAATATTTCATTTTATATTAATATCCTGATCAGGTAGTTATACTGAATGAAGGGTTTTTAAAAATGAAAACAGACAGTTCTACTGCCCTGATGCCTGCAAACTAAGATTTTAACTGTTCCTTTAGTGAATTTTGAAAGACCTGATTTTAAGGGCTGCCATTTGAGAGGATTTATTATCGGTAGGCCATTGAATTTTAGAGGGGAATAGGCTTATTGTTAGACTTCGGGGAAATTTGAAATTGGTGTCCCCCCCATGGAAAAAAAATTGGTAGTTATTTAAAGCATGACAAAATGAGAAAAGGTTTGTGAAATGGTTGGTTGTTGGAAGGTTTCTATCAAGCCATAGTAACTAAATCACCTTCCAAACACAGTTTCCCCTGCTAAATTAATTTGGAGATGGGCAGAACATGCATGTCAGTCAGCGTGGAAAATATTAATAAATTACTTAAACCAGCTAGCCTAGGTACAAAGCTAGACTCAAGCTATCTTTTGTATTTGCTGAAGTTTGCTTCAGTCAGGAAAGACTTGAGAAAAAAATTAATTTTCTGTTCCAATAGCAATCTTGGTCTGTGTTAGCTGCTGAGTCTACAGCTGACTTGATCTTTATTGATGTAGTAGCTAACTGTGATACAGACTTACTTCTGAGCTATTTATCTGTTTTTGGCTTTTTTTTTGGATTCAGTGTCCTGTGGCATTTGGCAGTGAAAGGTCCTAAGGCAGACAGGTATTTGTTTCATGTGGAACCTCAGTGCTAATTTGTCTCTTGTTTTGGTTTGTATTTTTAGGGGTCAGACGGGACTCTCCAATTCATTGTTTGCTGAGTGTTCTGTCTGGTGAAAGTCATGTCCATATTGCCATTCACTCCGCCGGTTGTGAAGAGACTTCTGGGGTGGAAAAAATCCGCTGGTGGCACTGCAGGGGCTGGTGGTGGTGAGCAGAATGGTCAGGAGGAGAAGTGGTGTGAGAAAGCAGTGAAAAGCTTGGTCAAGAAGCTAAAGAAAACAGGACAGCTGGATGAGCTTGAGAAGGCAATTACCACTCAGAATTGCAATACAAAATGTGTGACAATACCAAGGTAAGTGCTGTATTTGAAATTGTTACAGCCACTTAGGAAATGACTAAATGGATGTTCAGACCTTCTGTGAACAAATGACTAAAAAATAGTTGCATGCCTTTGGTTCTTTAAAATTATTTAAATTGTGTATTGGATTAATACAGTGCTTGCTTATAATGGAATCACATGCTTTGTGAAGTCACAATTTTGTTACATTTCAATTTTCATTGATATGTAGGGTCCTGTTTGTGTGTATTCTGATGATGTTTAACACTGCTCTTAGTTTGTAGCACTGCTTTATGCTTTTATTTAATAACCCTGTCAATTCTTGGGGAGGGGGACGTGCTTCAGCCAACACTTTTATGTGAAAAAATACCAGAAGACTAGTTTTTCCTTGGTCAACACTTCAGTTATCTAATTATTTTCAGTTATATCTGCTAGTTTAAATTGTACAAGCTGCCTCCATTCTCCCTTTTGAAGGGAAGTTTTATCTTGTAGGCAGGTTGTCTGAAGACCAGTTTATTTACTGTAATTATTGTTATTGTTTAATGAAAACACTTTTTTCTTAAGATCTTGGGGTATTTCTAGAATTGCTCTTCTGATCTGTATAAAGATTTGGATGAACAACTTGCATCCTACTCCTTTGACTTTCCCAGCTTAATTCATAGCAACTGCTGTGCGAGAGCAAGGGTTATGTTTGTAAGTATAATGCAGTCTGCTCTTGATTCATGTTGCACTGAAATACCACTGGGGTGCCTGGGCAAGCTCATTGTGTCTGACAGAAGTATCAAATCACTTCACAGGTGTGTTTTTCCCTGAAAAAGTTGGTGGATTTCTCTTTTCTGGGCATTTAAGTGACTTGACACTAAATTTATTTATAGGAAGAGGAACCACATCTGGTTTATGAACTTCATTTCTGTATTAGCACATTCAGCCTAGCTACTTTTAAACTTTGTATTAGCCATAGCGCAAACCAGATTTGACTGGTGTCACTAATGATTCCATATATCGAATGTGTTGTAGCTGTTATCTGATAATGGTGTCAGCATTCTGTTTTCGATTTGACACAGCTGTCTGGGAAAGTCATGAGTATACCCTGAATGAATGGCTATTTTAATTCTTATTTTCATATTTTCTGTTCATCTTCTGTTTCTAATGCTGCCCTCTGCTTGTATTTTCTTCCCTAGAATATACCAAAAAATTCTGGTTTTCCATTCTGCTTTCTTTTGCCAAATGGAGACAATAGATTAAAAAATATTAGTGCTTTCTTGTCTTGGTGTATTGTCAGCAGACTAAGATTGAAACCTGTATGGTTATATATTTCTTGAGATGGCTTCATGTATTTAGCAAGTCTTTACTGAGACTGAGATGAAGTGCTTAATTGGAAGATGTTTCATACAACACAAATTATATAACGCACTTGATTTAAAAATGTGTACCTAGATTCTAGAGCTCTTGGATTTTCTAGAGCCCTCCTGCAGGGATACTGGAACAGTAGATATTGTTATTTCAGAAAAATAGATGTCTGCAATGAATTTTGTTAGAAGATACAGTGTTCTAATACATCATTATTTTTGAGTAGACTCTAGTCTACTCATAGTAGAGTATGCTTGCATGACCTTTTGTGCTAAAGTAGACATAATAAACAATTCGTTAAAATGGAATACAAATATTCTGTGACCAGCAGTTCTTGCTGTTCTCTGTCCTCCACTCAGCTGTAAAAAGAGCTGGACCTGGATTTTACTTCTCTTGAATACCTTAGGAGTAAGCCAGGAAGAGTTCTTCAGGTGGTTTTGGCTATTATACAGGGTTTAATTTTAAATTAAAAAATGGTTTTGGCATTAAGGGGCAGTGTGATATCAGGGCTGCCAGCAGTGCCATACAGAATTTTTTAATTCCGTAGCTGGGTTTTGTTGATAGTACTTCACTTTGACAGCGGTAGTTTGGGTTCCCAAGAAATAACGAATGTCAGCTCAGTACTGTAATGATTCTTGGAGATTCTGTTCTTGGATTTAGTAAGTTAATGAAACCACTGCTTGAGACCCACTTTAATGAATGTCTTAAAGATCTGCCGATCAGCAGGGATAAATAATAAAATGCTGAATTTGAAACTTTTTTCCTTACTAGTCAGCAGGAAGTTTGTGGTGCCAAGCTGCTGAGATGCAGTTCTGATGTGACAGCTGGGCTAGGTTTCCAAATGTCATTCTGCTTGGGGGGCGGGGGGTGGTTGTGTGTGTTAGCTAGCTTCAGTTTTACTTACTACTGCTTTTTAATTTGGTGTAGATATCGACAACTGTTATGGGATACTTCTTTTTGTCACTGTTGCATTATTCCGTAAAAAAAAGTTTCAGTTGCAGTTTCACAAGTTTCTGGTCTCCTGGGAGATTTCGAGAGTGTTTGATACAGTGTTTAACTCTAGTACACTTTTACATTATTTAAACCTAAAGCATCCAAACTCCCACAGACTTTTCACGAAACTGAGAAGCAGCTTGAACAAAAGTTGTATTAAATCACCTACTCAGAAATCTGCATTTCTTACTGTGTGTCATTGATAATCGTGCTGAATCAGGTTTATCTGCTCCTGTGCTGTTTGTCAAGGTGACTGCACACTAAGGGAGGCTGATCCTGTGTGTACTACACAAAAGCTGCTCATGTGGTAATTAACACAACTTCTTATGAGACTAATGGAGGTTCTGAGAAAGCAGAAGCAAACAGATGGAGTGGGTGTTGGCATTGCACAGCAGGGCTGCTTAGCTCTTCATAAGTGGGTCAGTAATCTAGAGCAGAGGCTAAATAAGTACAGAAGTCCTTTTGACACTAGCCCTCTAAGTAATTTGTAGTTATCTTGCTGAATCCTCCCAGCAAGCCAGTGGGATTCTAATCACATAATCCCTGTGTATTCTGAAACTAAATATTGGCACGTGAGTTCACTTTTCTAAAATACCTAATGAATTTGGTGGCATTTAAGAACTTGTCTTCATGCTCTCTCATGCAGTTTTGACATGGGCAGAAGATGCAGTCAGTGGAGAAATAGGGTGAGCATCCTTCTTATGGAGCAGTTTTGTCCTTCCTAGCCTGGATTATTTTTTGAATCTCAGAATCCTAGATTAGTTTGGGTTGAAGGGAACCTTAAAGATGATCTAGCTCCAGCTCCTCTGCCATGGCCATGTGCAGACGCATCGGCGTCTTCCACTAGACTTGGTTCCTCAAAATCCAGTCTATAAATGCTTTGTAACTAGTTGTGGGTGAAATCCAAGCACTTAACAAACCAAACCATGCCATGTAGTGAATATTCAGCTGGTATATTGATAGTCTTATCTTTGTTATTTAAAAAGTTGTTTCAGTGGTAACAGCACAGAGAATTGTAATCCAAAGTATGAAAACACAACTAGTTTCAGCATCCCAATATTTTTGTGTGATCAGCTGAGTTGTTTTTCTGTCTTAAAAAGAGTACAGGTATGCTTTTGCCTTGTTTTTGCTTCTTTTAAATGAGACCAAGAAACAGTTGCTTTTGTAAAGCACCTTATAATGTACAACTAATAAAAAGGGTTTGCTTGTGTCGGGTTTGGGATAATGTTGTTGTAGTTCCTTTATTTTCAAAATTGGAAATAAATTTTAAAAAAAAGCCAAGGGAAGGGAAGCACTGAATTTGGACAAAGTTTTGTTGACATTAATAGCAGTAGTCATATTACAGTTATTATATATAGTTGGTTTTGATACTGTATGTGGAACTGTAGTTAACACTTGAATCTCAGCTTTAATTGGCGGCCTTAATTCCTGCAGAGGAGGTAAAGTTTACTGCTGCTTTATATTAAATTGCATCACAAAAGCAGAGCAACGTTAAATGTTGATGGAAAGCACTCTGACATATTTTTGACTGAAGTAAGGTTTAAACACCAGCTTTCTGAAATAGCAGCTCAGAGACTTTCTGAGCTGCTGGTACCCATGCAGGTGCTGCAGAGTCTCAGGTGAAACAGAGAGGTTGCTTCCAGAGCAAAGCAAGGGTTAATGCTCTTGTCACGCTCTTGCTTTTCAGCCTGCTTTGCCATTGGAGTTTTAGTATTATCTGGTCTTACATGTGCTTTCTGTCCCTCTTGTTTAACATGAGGAGAGCTGCTCTGTGCCATGGTTTTTAGAAGCTTCTTTTTGCTTGTTTTTCTGCAGCTTCCAAATTTTGACATAGAGGGTGAGAGTAAGAATGTAGATAATCTATGGAATTTACAGTCATAGTTAGATTTCTAAAGCACCTGGCCTCTGCTTCCAATATGAGCTGAATTCTGAATTCTCGTACCATTCAGAATCAGACAGAAAATCCTACAATGGGTCCTATGGTTTTGGGAATGTGGATGATTGTGAGGCAGTTTTGGGAATGTGAAGCAGACAGTTACAGATGAAGTGATTTTTTTGGAATTACTGATCAACTTTATTAACATTGATGGTGCTTTGAGTTTTTTAGGAGGAAGTAGTAATATTTCAAATATTTTAGAGCCATACTTGTATGACTTTCACTTCATCTGGTAGTGAAGGCTGGTAATTTTTTTAACTGCTCCCATGGAATTGGTTGCACCCTGATTGTTCTGGGGAAATAAGGTGTTGTTATTTAAGCATTGCATTCAGAATACCTTTCTGGTATTCTTTAGAAAATGTGAAAACACAGTAGCATACATTGCTTGCATCTGAAGGCTGTAGTGGTTTTGGGTTTGGTTGTTGTTTGGTTTGGGCTTTTTTTTGTGAAGTAAATGTCTGTGTGACTTCTGAGCCTGAAAGACTGCTCTTGATGCTGAAGTGAACAATACTATTGACACAACTTCTTCTTAAGCTTGCTTAAAAGTATCCAAGAAATAAATCCAGTATATCTTAATTTTGCTGTATTCCTGATGTATTCTGCAGTAATTAAAACTGCAGAATCTGATGAAAATGTATCAACTGCATCAAAACAAGGCCATTTGTCATTATCAAAATCCTTTGAAGAAACTGTGTTTCTCTATTATATTAGTGTTATTCCTTTGGTTGCTTGCCCC